TCGCTAAAGACTATAACATATCCAAATTTCCACAAAATCAGAAATGTTACTTCAAAATGTTTCCTATTTCGCGTAGTAATGACTAGATAGTAAATCAAGTTGGCTGTTTAAACGTTGAACGGTAGCGAATAAATGGAAATTAATCTTATGGTAATTTCTAAGAGAATTTATCGTGATTTACGGATAATCGAATTATTCTGTAATTGGATCCGACAATACATCGACGATGACTCCCGTAATAACGATATGTTGCATTACATAAATCCGCGATCAGCCATAAGGGGTCCCCCGCAAAAGCCACCGTCGATCCATTCTCATCACCCCGCGTGATTATTCTACGCTCGACTCGTCGACTTTCCGTCGTGGGGTAGATAATTGATGATGCTCGCTGGTTTTCGCGGGACATTGTATCGCAGTTACCAGTCCGACTATAGTTTTAATCTTCACCGTCCATGGTCCTTCCCGTTGTTTTGTCTGTGAAATCGAGCGGAGCTCGTTTTCTCGAGGTACCTCGACCAGAAACATTACAGTGAAACTCATTCGTGGTGAGTTGTGAGTATTGAAATTAATTTCAATGAAGTAGATTAGACATAAATCGTCGAAAATATATTGGTTTAATTAATAGAGGCTGTTGATCTCGTTTTAAATTACACTTGCGATGTTAATTTTACGCAAAAATTTTGTAACGTTATTTAAATAATCTAGCCTCCTTGCAATGTACCCGCACACTCAACTCGACTTCCGCGAGGGGAAAAAGTGGCGTAGGAAAAGGTCCTGCTACCACTTGGTATTTATTTCAAGTACTGAAAGAAATGTTAAATGGAATGTTAATTTCGCATAAATTTCAGTAATTTCCTATACCAAGTGGTACAAGGCCTTTCACTTACGCTTTTTCCCCTAGCGAGAGTCGAGTTTGCATGTCAGTGTACGTGTCATCCATATTTGGATGACGTAGCAGTCGAAGTGTTGAAAATCGAAAATTTTACATTGGTGAATGATTTATTAACGACAATAAACCTCTGTTTATTATATCGTGAAACATGGACGTGTATACGGTTGAAAGTGTAATATTTCAATCTGTATCAAGTAAGTTGAACTTCATTGATTATCCCGATGTAATCACCCGATTCAACTAAATTACTCGTTGTAACGGTACCTCGTAAAACATGGAGCACAGGGTTTTAATTTGCGCCGTGTAATTGCCGGTGAACACGGGATTTTTCATTAAAATGCTCGAACGAGGGTCGTAAATTATTTACCTCGATGGAGAGTCAGGTATGTAAGCTCGAGAAATCCCATTCTACGCGTTCTCGCGTCGTAATATCCAGCGACCTGCGGGGACAATTTACCCGACACGTGAATACAATTTTCAGCTCGAGTCCTTGGGAAGCTGAACATGGACGGATGTTGCGCGCCAGTGTATGGACAATTGTGTCGTGTCTTCTAACATTGAGGAAATCGTCAAGAATGAGTCGATGGACCAATACCGTGAGTACTCACGCTCTTTCCGTGTCCGTTTCGTTACTATTATTTTTTACTCGTCATTAAAATACAGTACCAAAAGTCACCAAACCATTTAAAAATAGAATAACTCTTTAATATATTAAAAATTCACATTTATGCTTTTATAAACAAGTGTACCTCTTGGAAATTATTTTTAATTACTTTTATAGATTATGTCCTTCAAATGGCCTATATACGCTATTATACGACGTCAATTGGTTGTCCGTTTAGTCTAGTTTAAATATTGTAATATAATTAACACCTCGGCTACAATTTCCAACGTAACCAAACCAAGCCACCGTTGGGGACCATTTTCCGTGGCATTCGTGACAACAATTAATCATCACATGCATATCGTCTGAACCAGCAAATAATGTTGCAATTCACCAACTACCATTCCGTGTCGAAGCAGAATTTTTGTGTCAGTGATACAAACATAACTGACTCGATAAAAAGTCGTATTAAATAGTTTCCCATGGGGAAAGGGACATTCGTACAGAAACGCATAAACGCGTGAACGGGGGTCGGGTCGTGTCGGTTCACCGGGGAACCGAAACGGGGATTGAGCAGCGGCCTTTTCTCGCTATCTGGGGAGGATTTCGTTCCTCCCACCCCCTCTGTAGTGGCTCTTAGCGGCAGACAAACGACGGCCAATTTACGAGCCGACGGGACGGTGGAACTTCTTTAAACTCGGATTAAAATAAGCGACGGATCGCCGCTCCCCGTTTTTTTCCAGCCCTTGGAATTCATCTTGGATACTACGGGGACTGGGTTTTATTTTATTCGAGTTGGGAGGGGGTTGCCCCTCGTCTGCATCGCCCTTGCTGGAATCTCCGCTAGGTGACGATTCGTCGGGGACATTTAAATTGATTATTGAGATGGGATGAGGGGGGTTAAATCGATCCGATAAGCTCGTCGATTAGGGTGATCCACCTGTGAGAGCCCTACTGTCGAATTGGCTTTAGCCTTGTCCTCTGAAACCTTTATACGGTATCGAACCTCGCCGTCTGAATAATTTCTTTCATCTTCTGTTTTTTTTAGCGAATCTTGTCGAATGCGTAACAAAGGGATTGGAAATTGCGAGAACAGGACTCTCCAGGCACAGATCACCGTGGAGATTTTAACGGGGAACAATCCTCCAGTATCCAATCCCAAGAGGATTAGATGTCTTTTTAGAAGATATTCTCCGCGTTGAAAAGAAAAGAAGGGTATTTGTTGGATACTTTTTTTTTAAATTTATTACCGGTTAATCCGTAACTGCAGACGACTCATCTCATAGAGAAACAAATATTTCGTCTGTACTTAAGGATTAATGTTGCTGAATTCGTAAGCCTTTTGTTTTATAGTCTCAGTAATTGCAAATAATTGAATTATATGTGTTTTAAGCACTCGACGAAAGTTTGTGTTCTTTCAAATTCTTCTCAAAATATCCACAGTAAACGTATCGAACCAGTTTATAATAATAATAACGTTTTACCTAATGCAGATCACAGGATTGCGATAAGAAGGCCCAGAAGCGAACGCTCGAGTCTGAAACCATCCGAAGATCGGTTCAAGGCCGCAAGAAAACCTCGCAGAAGGGAGCGATTCCAACCCCACGGTGACCCCCGGTGCAAACGCGAACGAAAAAGTAATGGCGCCCGTGGGACGAGCGGGGTAACGCGATTAGGTGGCGCGGCACTGGCGGAACGATTCGGTCGGCTTGATTTATTCGCGTACCGACGCGTTATTGCATTAGCGCCCCGACGACGAGGACGCCGCTGGCCAGCGTCCCGGGGTCGCGAGCACGTCTAGAGAAAGATAGAGAGATATAGCACCGGAACTCCACTACGGCCGGTCTGTCCACCCACCCGTGAATCATCCCCAAGAATTATGTCTCGGACGGTGCTGCCAGGACGCGTGATTTGTCCCGACCCGGAACGGTGCTCACCGGAAGCGGAGGATTCGCGATCTAACGACTTGGTTCTTTTCGTTCTCGGGCTCGACACTCCGCCTGTTCTTGTTTAGAGTGGATTATAATTGGGGATGGGGGATGAGATTATGGTTAAGGGATCTTGTCTAGTTTGTTTATTCAATGTGTTCTTGGTTTTGTGTTTCGGTTCTGTTGTGTTGTTGAATAGTAGATCGACTAGTGTTTCGACCTACACTAATGCGAATTGTGGTAAAAATTAGTAGTAGATGCCTAGAATTGTTGTAATTATAAAACGAGAAATCTGCTCGTCCGCCATTTTGACGGGTTAGGTAGTAGCAGCGTTTAATCCTCGAATTCCAATCGTACTGGGGCAGTCTGTAATAAATAATCCATTGCTGGTCGAAGGTTCAAGTTTGTATATATATATATATCTATATATTTTTTAAAGCTAATAGTATACAGAATGACAATCTTGTGTCCGAGAACAGCCAGAGCCGTTCATCGTCGAAACATCGAGAACCTAGACGAAACTCCAATCGATTTCGAAACTTCAAACGTTTTCTCTGCCTTCTGTCTAGCGTTCCGTCGATATCGAATGGTTTTCGTGGTAACAATACTTCTGTCAGCGACTATTTAAAAAAAGAACAAACGATTTTCTCGTAGGTTTATTTGTCTCTCTTTCTCCGGGTTCCCTCGTTTCGCAGTTCCCGCAAAGTTCGAAATAGTCGTGTTTCGAGAACAAACAACCGTTCCATCGGGAGGAACGAGTTATCACGGGGATTTATCTTCATAATTTTCAAGCCCAACTACTACTGACCCATGACAGGGCAGAGGAGTCCGTTAGTGGAGCCATCTTGTTGGCGAGTGTCTTTGCAAGATAGCGTCTGTTGAGTCGCCTTGAACCCGAAATCGAGTTGGATAAAACTATCCGCAGTTATGCTCGACAACGAGAAGCCAAATTGTTGAATTATCCTTATCAGGTATACCAGTAATCCGCCATTTTTTTCGCATACATTTTATACAGCTCCGTATGATGCAAATTCATACGAGTATCTTGCTCCTTATTTACCATTGATTCCTAATATTCGAATCTATTCTCGTAAAACTAGACTGGATGTTTCGAGCTCGACCCATTGTAAATCGTTGTTAAAAAAACCATGACGGATTACTCATGGCAATACCAAATTAGGTTGGCTGGTTAACCATATTTGATCTCGATAACGGTGATGAGTAGACTGTTCCCAAGTGAATATGTACCCTTAACGTTCCAAAAATCACCGACAAACCATAGAAACGAAAATCTCAACTAAATACAATGTACAACCATAAGCCGTTCAAATTGTCCAGTACTTTCATTGATTGGAAGGTTTATCCGAAATAAACCCCAGCGTCCACCAGTCCCGTAGTTCCAAATTAACCGAGGAAACAAGTAGAAACCACAGTGTACTCATCACCGTGTAGAGCAATCATCCCCAAAACGCGTGCCTCGCGTTAAGAACTGTGAATTCTTGTAAGTTGTAGACTCTTGGAAATTCGGAACTCTCGAAACAACTCTCACCCCAAGGTGTCCCCTCTTTGTCGAGCCTTACGCGGGCCTGTCGAGACCCAACGCCTCCTGGTGTCGCCTGGCTTTCAGCCTTAGATCCGCGATGCTGCTGTTCTTCGAACGTGCCGCGGCCGCCGCCAACGACGCCGCCAGACTCAGCGGATGTGGATGAGGATGACCGGAAGTCGGCGGCGGCGGCGGGGGTGGGGGCAGACAGAACAATCCGCCGGCCGCCGCGTAATGGAGGACCGCTGGATCGAACGCCGAACCCGCTGCGGCGGTCACGTTTCCACCTGCACCCTGCATCGGGGGGTGTAGCCTCAGGGCTGGTAAATAGGGCGCCACACGACAGGGCTCCAGGCTGTTCGGGGGGCTGCGTGGTGCCAGCACCAATCCACCTGCTACCCCTGTAACATTGTTTCTTGTTTTTGTACAATATGTCCGTTTTGATTCGATTTTCATGAAGTGTGTCAATGTAAAATTTGATGTGTGAGTCGAATCGGAGGCAGTGATTAATGTTTGCGTCTCTACGATCGAGGCCTGCATAAATTGTACAAGGGCGAGGGGGATTTAAGGAAAGCTTTGATCAGTCGTGGTACTACTATTTAACGCACCTTTGTGCAATTGACTCTCGTGTTTCCGACACTTCGCCCGTCGGTTCTGGAACCAAACTTGAACCCTCGCCTCGCTCAACCCGAGTCGCTGGCTGAGTTCCTCCCTCATGAACGCGTCCGGATAGTGTGTCTCGTCGAACAACCTCTCCAATTCGGCCAGCTGCTCCAACGTGAAGTTCGTTCGTGATCTTCTCTGCTTGCCGTTTCCCGTCCCGTTGTTCCGACAGTTGGCACCTGAAGAAACGGAATCCTTTAAAACATAGAGATCTCCTGAAATTATTGCGAATCGTCTTAAGAAATTTCACAGCCTCCAATTGTCGCTCGGTTGACTTCGATTTCTTCGACGAGGCGCGAACCGATCTTCACGATGACTCACACGGACATTCCGCGACGATTAATTCACGAGGTCGTCGGAACCGTTCGTATTAATCTCTCAGATTCGTTCACAGCTCATTTCTTCTGGTCCGCCAGACATCAGCATAAATTCTGTTCTTTTACGAGAATTTTATTCAAATCTGGCCTCTCCCCCCTCTCAGAGGGAGTAGAACTTTCAATTAGTTGACATTAGAGACGCGGTCTTCGCGAAATCGCAGCTGCTCCATGGTTCCTTGGCAAACAATGGAAAAGTCGTTCGAACTTTCCTTACGTAGAGCACCCTACCACCACAAAATTCTAAAGCTCCGACTTCTATTTTATGATATTAATAGAATACATTTCAGTTTCCAGAATCACTTTATCACAACAATTCCCCAGAAACAGAAGGAATTCGTGTACGTATCGCAATTGTACATTTACTCTAAAAGTTAAATATTAATATCAGCAATCTAGTATTTCACTTTGACTCGAAGAAAGCGAATAATATTTCCATCGGTTGAATCCATTTTGATATCGTCACCGCGAGTCTGACTCGATGTTATAAGGCAATGGGTTAATTGCTCGATGAATTCTCCGTGAACCGATATTTAAAAACTCAACGGTAACCACCCGTTACCGTCCCCGTGAAAACGGAGCCGCAAGCATCCGGTTAAAAGGACGACCGTGGATAATTAACGGGTATACGATTTAATTAATGGCCGCTTAATATGCAAAGTAACTACGGTACACAGTTCACGAAGGTGTTGCCCCCCCCCCCCGATGGGAACTCCAAAACGATCCGGCTCGCCACTTCCGGAGAACACGCGAAAGAGAGAGGGGCGGGTGGATTAAGCGCCTCGCGCAAGAGCCCTTGACGAAGGGGATGTGATTTATATAATTTAGCAAAGTGGTGAGCTACGCAGTCTTATACGGGGTCGTTAGTTACCCACCCATCCCTCCCCAGTCGCTTTCTTTCCCGCGTGTTTCTCCCTCTTGCTCTCGCCCTCACCCCTTCTCGCCTTGATCAGCTCTGTTGGCTTTCTGCATCTGTCCAACGACCTCTCGACCACCCCCCCGAACCCTTCGTAATCGAATGTTTGTACCGATTACCGAATCTCTGACGCTTGGATAACTGTTCAGGGAATTCTTCTGTCGCGTTCAATCCCCCCACATGCTCCGATGATGTTTCGTTCGCGAATAAGTTATCGTTAAGAGGTTCGAGGGGAGGGCGGATAAAGAAACAGGGCGAATGATTCATTTTTACTGAATGTTCTGCACGAGGAATCGAGAAATCCCTTTTTTAGATTAGCATCAGAAAACCTTTGTATCTCTGTACATATTATCAGTAATTCCTTATGCATAAAGAATTCTACTCAATTCGAGAATTCTAAGAATGTAACGCACCCCCTCAACACCCTTCGAAATTGTCTATAAATTCAGTGGTTGTAACAATTCTAATCCAAGGGCTGCTGTAAAATTATGTAATATTATGTTAATCTGTACTTACTCTGCGGCGATCTGCCAAAACAAAGAAAGATTAATCTATTAACTATTTTTATTTTTTACGCCAAGGTAGAAGGGATGTGGCCGCAAGAATAACAATTCGCTGGGATCCAACGGAAAAAGAGATCGACACCGAGGACGTGGAGGTGAATCGGGGAAGAATCATGTCGTCGATATAAAAAGAATTGGGGCGGTCCCGACTAAAACGAGGAGGAATTACAAGGACAGTGCAACCCCTCTCCCGATGACGACGACCAGGCGTTGCGCTTTAATCAATTAGCGCATACCTCCACGTAATCCAATCGGAGCTCATGGCAGAGCGTAGCCCGCATATCCATATGTACAAGCGGTTTAAAACCCCTCCCCAGCGAAATACACTCGCTCGCTCGGCGGTTTCAAGCCCATTCTCGTTCCAGTCATTC